GGTTAGAATTCCAAATGCAACAGACACTGCCATTAATTATCTCAAAGCACGTTAAGTGACATTACCTATAAAACAAGTGTTCCTAAAGGGATGGAATCTACTCGTTTTGGATGGCCTCCGATTACCAAATCACCCACTAATCAGTGACTGTATTGAGAGCATCACTGGTTATGCTGGCCATACACGTTTCAAATTATCAATTTTCAATGTAATTAACAGCAATCACATTATACACAAATTTAATTGCAACAAACAGATCCTTAGATTGTTTCCCAGTGAGCCCAGTTTACTGGACAGGATGAAAAACATTTCAGTCATTTTTTTGAAAATTATTGTATTGATGACTGTTAACTTGTATTTGTGTGATTTTTTCCACAGTCCATTTATGTCAATCTTTCTGCCTGTTAATAAGCGCCTATATTTAAAATTTTAATGATTGTAAGTGTGAAATAGCTTTTTTTAAGAATTATAGGGGCCATATTATTGAATGTTTTTGTTTTTTTATTATTTAAAATCTGCTTAGAATCACAATGTCAACTTAATAGAGTATAAGTGGATCACACAATCATTTGTAAATGATCAAATCCCTGGTCTGCATTATTGTATGTGTGTATGGTCATCAGTAGCCATTCATGCTGGATATTCTGACTCACACATACGTATTCCTGGGAGTCTTAGGCTAATGTCACACTTAAATTAGATTAGGGATCCTGTTGCTGGCAAGAACCTGCCAGTGGCAGGATCACGTTGAAGGACACATTAGGGCAGTGAAGCACTTACCTGTTTGCATGTTTTGCTCCCTCATCGACTGGATGAGGAAGGTATCACTTTCTCGCTGCCAATTTAAATTTTCAAGTGCTTTCAGCAGCAAGGGAGTGACATCTTCCCATCACATTTACCAAGGGTACTACGCATAGAAAGAAGGTGAGTGTTCTACTGCAATTCCTAGCAAATTCTCCCTTGCTACAGGATCGCAAGTGTGATATTAAACCGATTTTTTTCCAACTGTAGCAAATCACTCTTGTTGATGCCTTTTTTGGAATGTAAAATACACTTAAAGCTGGACTCCAGATATAAAATACACAAATAATGCATCTCTGTATTAATTGATGCATAATGGAATTAATTTATTTTAATACGAGCAGTGTAAGTAACGGAATTAGACTTGTTACCAACCTTTTGTAATTTATTGCACAGCAAAGCTCAGATTGGGAGAGGCAGAAATAGCACAAGGAGCCAGCTGTGTTGCAGTGCTCATATGTTAGCAAGAAACATGGAGGAGATAGCAGAATGAGAGGGATAACCTCCTCAGTCTGCTTCTTCTCCTTCCATGACAAGTCACAGGCTTGAAGAAAGCCAAGACCTGTAACTTAACTGTAGTCTAGAAAAATTCTACCAGAATGGGCTGTGCTATGCGACCTGGAACTGACAAGCCACTTCTAATTCTGTTGCAGGTAAAACTACTATGTACTCCTTATATGTAGTAAGTGGTTTGCCTGGAGTATAGCTTTAAAAATATCAGTTAGCGTGTGTGAGAGGCACTTGTAATGGCTTAAGCTTACCATACACAAGTAGATTTCCGAACAAACGTTTCTACAAAAGAGATTTATTTACCACCCAATAATGCCCTTAGACATTCAACGAATGTCGACTGAAATTTTGTTTGAACAAATTGATCAATTTGACCCCATCAACTGATAGAAAGTTGAACGAAAGATCTTTTGTACGAAAATCTAAGTAGTGTATGGCCAGCTTTAGGCTGGTGGTCGAAACTGGGAAAAAACTAGAATGACTTCAGCAGCAGACTTCCAAATAATAGAAGCTCATTGGTGAGCCAGCGCACCAGCAGCTACCCAACACATTTTTCAGTTGCATTACAACTTTCAAGTGATCTGATTATTGAAACATTTTGCAAAATTCAAGCCTCCGTATGTCCTCTTTACATATGCCAATACCGTTATCTCAAATATACAGAGACTAAAAAGACAGAATCAGTAGGGAGGAACAAATAGAAATAGCCTTTCCAAAACACACCTAAAAATACATTTCAGGTGGGAAGATAATGTACAAGAGATGCTACTGCAGTTGTTTTTAGAATATGATTGCTTTGGCAACATATGTGCTTCCTGGGCTTGCTTACATGTTGTTTTTGAATTTGAAAGAAACAACTTGTCACAAACAAGAACATTCATTAGCATTCGGTAAAAGAGTGACAGCCAGGAGAGATGGATAAAAACACAGGTGGTGGAGTTATATGGTGGCTATTTCAATGTGTTACACTAATCTGGCAGCACCGGGTCCATAGTGTGTATGGGTTTTGCTAAAGCTGTAATGGATGACACCAGCTACTGATGCATGAGATTACAACCAACAAATGGGAACTGTTCAACCTGTTTATATTTGGGCATAAGAGAAGATGGCTAAGCATAGTGGTTTATTTAATCCACAGAAGTCAAATTGCAATCCCAGCAGGCTACATTACTTAATCAAAATATTAAATCTCAATCTACAGGTTTATAAATGGTATAGCTTACATTTCTTTGTTTACCAATTTGTTTTTGTTAAAGGGTCAGTCCCTCCCAAACGGGATATTTCTTATAGGTGGGGCCTGCACAGTCCGCCTCTGACTTATATTTTTATTCTATTATATTCTTATATATCTTGAATGTTCAAAAAAGTGATATCTCCTTTCACAATTTCCAGGTCTGTTGCTTGGGAATTTTGGGTGTTTCAGCCCACCTTTGTGTATTCAAGCTCCTCCTGTTACCTTCCCCATAATATCAAATAAATAATAAATCCAAAAGAGGTTGTGGGAGTCCCTTATAATGGCCACAGTAGGCAAGTGGACAGAGGAAATCAAGTGCGGACAGTATCAATAAAGTGCCCCAGAGGTTTGAGAATCTTACAGGTGGTTTAAGATTCCAGCATCTACCAAAAATACAAATATCAATTTTTGGTGGACTGACCCTTTAAATGTTTATTAGGTTATCATTCCATGATCTATTTAGCCATAGACTGGATTTTACTTTGCAAATTGAACTATAATCAAAATGTGATCAAATCTGACAGTTTGAAATTGTTGGAGGACACATTACGTAATGTGCTTCATTGGAACAAACAATCCCAAATGATCCATCACATCCAGCACTCAAGGCTGTATATGTAGGACTACTTGTGGGGTCCTTGTGCGAGCTATAGATTTTAATACCATATGTATGACCAATTCTCTTAAACATTTGTCTGAATAATGCTTAGGTGGAGTCAAATTGTACCCTCTATGGACACTTTCTTGTGGACTTCCATCCAAAATTATTTCGGGCAGGTCTTGATCCACTGCCAGGTCTTTACAGCTTTCTGTGAGCATGACTTTGCTCTCAGCTGTCACAGCCAGACCATACGCAGAAGGGAAAACAATTGCTAGAAGAGAGACATCGGTAAAATCCAGATGGATTTTTAAAAGAGATTTCCACCGGTAGTCCATATCTAAAGTATTTGTATTGCGAAAGGATGAAATTTAGAGACAATAGAGAGTTAATAAAGAGAATGCCAGGGTTTTGGAAGGAATTTTTCCAAGTCTTGCGTCTTTCACCCCTCCTTTTGTAAACTCACGTCCAGCCTATAAAGATCCTGAATCAATTACTTTCATAGAAGCTCTCTGTCCTCAAAGTGGATGATATTTTACTATTTTAATGTATATCAATAAAGGATAAACAAAAGGCCACATGCCTTGCACCCACCATGCTGCACACAGATGAAGAGAGCAAACTGGCTATACACTCTCTATAATACAGACATGCATGCTGATCAGTTTAGCCGAGAGCAACAGAAAGGGATCGTTTCTGACAGCTTAGCCACTTCTCAGTAGTACAGCGCAGCGTGTTTGCTCGATGTGGACTTAGATTTGTAGGAGAAGGTTTTAAAAGGCTTTTGCAATGCACCAATACATAAACAGGCAACAAGCAAAGAACGGGTGTCAGCACAAACAAGTGGATTAAGGAAGGAGCTGAGAGGCTGGTGGAAGCCCAAGCTATACCAGTCCAGAAGCCTGGACGCAAGCTCACAAAAGCACTAGGTTTTTCATCCACACTAATTAATGAGAGCAAGCTGTGAATGGGAAGGAGGTGGGGAAAGGCATGACTGTCTGGAGGGAGACTTGTGGGTTAAACAGCAGACCTCAGACTGAAGACCTTACAGACAGACAGAATGAAGCAACCAAGGAGGGGTCATCCATCCTTACGCCACAGAGAGCCACTGTTGAAAAGAAAGACACAAAATACAGGAAAAGGGGAGCAAACAGGGAGAGAATAAAAGTGGAGTTTGAGCAGCAGATTAGGTATTTATAGGGGAGCATCCCAAACAATATCCCAAGTCTAAAAATTCCTATTGAGCAACCTGACAGTGCCACTGATGTAAAAGTTGCAGGTTCTCCTTGGGTAGCATTTTAGAGTTGTGGCAGCTGATGTAGGAAATACGTGTATATCCATTGCAGCGAAGGAGAGAAAGAGGTGAGTCCTCATTAGCAAATGTGGCACCATTTTGTTTTGTGTTCTGTAAGGACAGGTCATGCCCTTGGTTTTTCCAAACCTTAAGTGGTCACGGGCAGAAAATGTACCAACTATACACCTTCTCTATGAGGGAAAGACAGAGAAGAAAGCAAGACATTAGGAAGAAAAGGGAGAAGATACATATATCAGTACGTTTTCTTGGGGTTGCAAAGGGAGAAGGGCTGAGAACATATTGACAAAAGTGGAACACAATGTAGAATCTTGGTGGAGATGGAAGTATGTGAAGGGGAGTACATGAATAAGCAATGGAAATGGAAACCACCCCCCACCCTTTTTTCTAATACCCCTTTACCCAAAATTACATTTTTACATGCTTTGTTATTTTATGAATCATCCAGTAACCAGTTGAGAACAAATACATATCTATCAATTCTTACATTTCTTCAAAAAAAAAAAACCACTGTTGGGATTTTATAGGCGGCAGTATTTACTTACCGCATGGACCCTTGTGTTTCATTGGGATAGCTGTTTTCTGGATGCACTCAGCTCTTTGCCTCTCACAGTCGTTGGCATATGTTCGGCTGTCCCGGGCGCAGACAGGCTTGTAGGCGCCGTCACAAGTGATGCGGTCACAAGAACAGCGGGTGATCCCTCGACGGTTAAGGCACACAGCATTGTGCTTACATTCATCCTTGCATTTGTCTAAAAAGGGAAAATAAAGGAGAGACTATAAGTAACATCCACAAGGCAGTTAGCCTGTTAGCTTAACAATGGTCATTCAAACACCTGTGGAGTGTAAATGGCACAGACAGACAAATTGCAACACAAGTTAGATGGACACATTTACTATCCTTTACAGACTTTTTTTTTCACCAGTGGTCACAGTAAGAGTCCCCTGACAGTTTTCATTCTTTGTTTTTCAACTTTAAAGTGTAATTCTACTTTAGCAGCCAAATTGAGATAACGCCTACGTTATATTTTTTACATGTTAACTTAAAAAAATCGCTCAGAGTAGTTTGCAGGCTGTCCAAAGGCCTGTCACAAAGAAAATTCAAGAAAGGTAAGAAATACTATTTAAAAATTAATCTAGGTATGCTGTGTGCATAGGCGCACATAACAAACATTGTGTGGTTTACTCACACTTGACTGCAAAAGTGGAAACACACTTTAAGTTAAAGACTTATGACTCTGTCATAAGAAGTCCCACAACTGCCACTGCTGGACTCCTAAATATGCTTGTTACCTGGCTGTGATTGGCATTATTACTTTTTGAGTCACTGACTCAGAACATGCATGCAGTTAATGAGTATTAGGAAAGTGTCAGACTCCCTTATCTCTATAATCCAGGACAATTACTCAGAAATAATGGTCAGTAATCCTCTGATGACAGGTTTCATTTAAGAATTGCAAGAGGGAATTGGACACTAGACCGTTGACTTTTTAACATACGACAACAGCTGATCTTTTACAAGGCAGTCCAAATGGCTCTGCCAATGGATCCTTTAGGGCTGGTTTATATCACCAACACTATGTAGTGTTGCTCTGTGCAAATAAAATGAAAGGTCAGGCAATATACCATTGCTTTCAATAGTGCCAGATAACACCAATGCCCTACAGGGAAAAGACAAGTTGAATTTTATCACAGTGCAATGGAGTTGCAGCATGCTATAGATCTAAAAGTATCTAAAAAGGAAAAACAATGCACTGCAACACATGTAAAAAAAAAGGAAGGCAGCACATCACACCATCAAACTGCATGTAAGGCATGGGTGTGTTACCTGCAATATTTTGTGTTGTAGTTTGAACAAACTCTTAGTAAACCTGAATTCTACAGACTAAAATATCTTCCAAACAATATAAACATCCGCCACGTGCCTGCACTGTTCATATAGGTTATGTACAGCCATCAATGTGTCTCGTCAATACTCTTGCAGACACCGATATAAAGAGGAACATAACAAAGCAAAGAATTCTTGTTCATGGACCCAACTCCCTACCCTCCTGTATGTTTGCATATCTACCTGCACATGTAAGACTATGTGGCTCTCTGGGTGTAGCCCGTCATGTGCTGGGCTGGGTGCACTAGCTGCTGGGCACCTTATGGCAGCAGAACTACAACAGGGTGTCAGGCCCTGAAACTCTCTCTGCATTATCCCCTCCTGGCAAGTAAAGTCCTGGCCGGATGAGGAGAGCGACAGATACGAGCATGTGATAAGGCAAGTAACCACTGACCACCAATGCTGAGGGTTCAATTTTACTGCCACTAACCACTAATGCAAGGGGAACAGGGTTGTGAGGGTTTTTTTTTTTTTTTTAAAAGCACTGCCACTGACAACGAATGGAAGGAAGTGTTAAACAGCAATATCACTGACCACCAATGGGGGGTGGTTTAAATAGTATGGCAGCTGAGCACCAGCACATGAGGGGGGAGGGAAACAGCACCACCACTGACCACCAATAGCTGGTTAATAGTATTGCCACCAATGCTGGGTGCTTATTACTGTGGTCTTTGACACCAATGCTGGTTATTTCTGTGGCCAATAACACAGAATTTTGAGGTGCGTTACATCCCATTACTTTTGGATGGACTGCCTAGCTCGAGGCAATGTACCTCAACGCACAAATGCTACTATTGTGCTGTCACCTCAAAGTGTCGGGAGCTGAACTTGAGACCATCTATAAGTTCACATGCAATGAATAAATTTAAGCACGTGTTATATATTTCATATACACATTAAGAAGCAGGAGCTGACATTGATGTGGGGTGGATGCGGGTTATCAACCACGGTTGGGTCAGATCACAGAGTTGTGAAACTCCTTACTAGTGGGGGAGTAAACTTGTGAGGATGTCACAGTAAGCATGGGTGGGGGGCGAGTAGTTACAGCTTAATGTTGTCAGGCAACAAAAGAAGTTAGAAGTTCACTGGATTCCGGGCAGGATCAACAGATATTTTTCTGTACTTGCAATGATTTTAACAGCTAACACGTAGTGAAATTAACAAGTATTGCAGAATTGCACTGCATATGTTTATTGTTTATTTTGCCCAGACATACACTTTATATACACTTAAATTTACAGTTTACACTTAAGTATATTTGTGTAGCAATTATATATTGCATTTATTACACTATATATGTTTCATTCATTTTTAAAATGGAACTGAAGCCAATTTTGTTAATTATTTTTAGTATTGAATAGGGTGGAGAGGGATTGGAACCCCGGTCAAGATTTTATTGCTGCCTATGTCCCCATAAAAGTGAAAGAAAATCACAAATTGTGGGTTGTCATCAGAACAGGAATGGATGAGAAATCTTTCAATGAGGACACAAGTTCTGGTGTTTCTGCTGACCACCAGGGACTTCCCTCGCTTTGGAAGGATTTCTTCTCCCTTTGGAATGAAATCCC